ATCTATCTATCTATCTATCTATCTATCTATCTATCTATCTATCTATCTGTCTGTCTGTCTGTCTATCATTCATGTAGCCGCCCATCTCACACAAGGTGACTCTAGGTGGCATACAACAATTTAAAAAAATAAATACATAAAAACAATTACACATATTAAAAAAAAAAGACTTGGGGGACGGGGGCTACTGCTCATCAGGGCAACAAGCTTGGAATGTCATCAGTGGGACCTCCAGAAGCGATGGGCCTTTGGCAACTGTTAGAGGGGGCGGGCTCCTGGCAATAGCCCTGGCGATGTCAACGGGGCCAGTAGACCACGCACATGAGCAGGATGTTCTTTGCATTGAAAGCGTTTCTCTGGTTTGCTTCTCCTTTTCTCCCCTCCTTTTACGGCCTCCGTGACTATCAGCTTGTAGAGCATATAGTCTCACTGGGGCAGATGCAAACACTGGCATCCGTCTTGGCTGTTGCTTTCCGCTCATGCCACCTGGGACCCGTCTCAGTGCTGTTGCCATCTCCTGCACCTCTCAGCAGCAGTGCTGGGCCTGGCCTGGCCCTGGCATCGGCGTATCTGCCAGGTGGGCAGACTTACCCCAAGGAGCTGCAATGGATGGGAATCCAACAGCTGTTCCGCCCCAGTCGGCAATCTGTCCGCTTCCCCATGGTGCAGGGCTTTTGCGAAAGCAGGATGGAGCAACAAGGCCATTTCCCCACCCCCTGCAATGCCAGCTTAAACAGAAGACAAAGGAGTGGCTTTGTTTGCTCTGGCAGATGTGTTTAGCTCACCTGAGGGGTGGTGGGGCCCAGGGATGTCGTCATAATCCCTGTATGATTCCTAATTGGTTGGTACCAAAACACCAACCGAAACGGAAACAAGAGGCTGTGCGCTGCTAGGAATGGCAGTGGAAAAGAAGTGTAATTTGTTTTTCAGGAAGAATCTAATGGCTCACAACGTCCCTTTGTCCCAAAATGTTCAGCATATTTGTTCAGCCACACACTTTCCCAAGGAACATTTTTCTAAAGCAAGTGAGGGCTTCCATCTTTAGCAACAGAACAATGACATTTGTAATCGGAGGGAATTAAATATTTGCTCAGCTTGTTCAAAGGCACCACAGCTGATACTAATGAAATGCACCTTCCTTGGTGTTAGGAAGTGCAAGGATCATTCCTGGTGAGTCGTGGGAGATTTGCTGTTGATCATGCAAGCCATGGTTAGCACTGATTAAGCTGACCCTTTACGTGCGTTTTATTTTCTCCAGGGTCTAGTTTACGTCTGGTGATACCCCTCCTCTGCTCCTTCCAGGACAGTCATGGGAAGTCCTCCCTCCTGCAGCGGGCAAGGCTCTTGCGCATCCTTCAGGGCCATCTCCATGCTGCTCCACATAGTGGAGAGCTTAAGGGCGACAGGAGGCCCCCAACACCCACAGCCACTGTCTTGGAGAACCGCCAGGTTGGTGCTGCTATTACCAATACACAAATATACCCTATTTCCCAACACCCTGCCTGACAGGAGTTTGAGTCTTTGCATCTCGCTGCCTCCATCTAGTGGCTGTCTAGCTTTTGGCAGCCCAGACATGGTAGCCCGAATCGATGCATAACTGGGGGGATCAAAAGGCTGTGCCAGCTTAATGGGCTAAGCCAAAGATCATCCCCCATTTCTGAAGCAAACAGGCCAGGTTGGGGTGAACACACATCAGGATCACTTCTCCAGCTATGGGCAGTCAGGCTTCACTTCTAGCCCTTCCTGCCCCCACATTTTCTGAATGTAGTCCTCTGCAGGGGCTGTTCTGGTGAAAGATCCAATTTAAAAACTTTCCATTAATGATCGCACAGATTAAGTGATTAATGGTTCAGGCTCTGTTGAGAATATTGGATTTCGTGCATTGTGATTCTGGACGGCTGCCATGCAATTCACTTGCCATTTGCTAATTCTGACTACGCCGTTTTTTGAGGATGGTCGCTCACGTTTATGTCTGGTGTTAACAGAAGAAAGAGAGGAGGAGGAGGAGGAGGAAGAAATGATGGGGGTGACGATGGGGGTAAGAAGGAAATGACCTTTTGCAGAAGAACAAGTAATCCGCGCCATGGAAACATGAAAAAGAAGGATGCGAGGATGCGCAAAAGCGTTTCACCCAAAGAAATTCCCCGCTGACAGTTCGGTGGGAGCCAAAATAGCAAGCTCCCTTTGGCATCAGAGTCACTTCTGGTGACTTCATGGCCTATCCAGGTCACCTGCTTGGCAACTGCTTGCCACTGCTGTCCCCTGGGCTCAGTGCTGAGTCCTCAGAGCAGAACTGGAGAGCCGCCGCTCACATCGGGCCACAGCTACGCTTAGCCGGGTAGGAGGTGCCGTCAGAAGTCCTGAGGGGGGCCTCCTCCTTCAGGCTCCTTTCTTTAAAGCCCCAGGAGTGGGCTCTGAAGCAAGGCGCTTGGAAGCTCTCGGCGGCGATGTGCGTGCAGAAAGGATTTAGGGACATGGTTGCACAGCTATTTTTCTTGAAAAGCCTGAGTTATTCTCAGCAACGTGTGAAGAAGAAGCATATCCTCTGCCTGGAAAAGGTGACAAGAGAATCCCACTTAGAAACCACCACCGCACACACCCAGTCTCTGAGGGGCATCATGACACAAACACCATAGCCTGGAAGGAGGCAGGTGTGAAGGCGCAAAGCTGCCCACAGACCGTAGCATCTTCCAGGCTCCCTACCGCCCCTGGTCTTTGGACTGCTTTTGGATGCTGTTAAATGAATCACCGAAGACGCTCTGCTGCAGAGCGAAGCCCTGGCTTCACGCAGTCATGTTCCCGTCACATTCCTGGAGTAATTCTTAGGTAAGGAGACGCAGCCCAGCAGCAGCTTCGCGTTTGATTTGGAAGGGTGCCCGCTGACTGGAACAAAGAAAGCCGTTCCGAGGGCTGGTTGGAAGCAACCTCAGCAGTTTGCCTTCCACTAAATGGGTTGTGATTCACCACCACCATCATGGCAGCTAGTCTGCAAGTGTGCTCATAAAAGGTTCCCAAAATCCCAGCTGCCCCCAGCCTTCACCCTAACCCCAGCCCCAAAATGTTGAGGATACCCAGATTACAGTGTATACTATTATTCATCCTTTCCATCAAGGATGAAGCATTTTCATCTACTTCTGGACTATTTTAAATAGAAAACAGAACAATATTGTATTGTAAATTTTCCCTAAAAAACAATATTTTCCCTAAATTGTCCCCCAATCAAACAATAAAGATTCCTGTATTAATTTGTCTGAAAGTTGAAAATTCAGTTTTATTAAGGACAACTGGGCCTGCCAATTTCATTCAACCAAGAAATCAATGTTTCAGTGTTCCCGTCAAAAAATATCTAAAGACTCCTAGAATAGAAACTCATCCACCTCTTTGTCTGAGATTTTAGCAGATTTTATCAAGCCTAAAACTCTCCTGTTCTTGCCACATGAAGGAATTGCTGGCTGAATTAGGCTTTGAACCCATAAAATGCTTTGCCCATATGGTACCCATCTCTTCATTCTGTTTTTCAGCTCAGCTACGGAATTCACTTTTTTGCCCTCCATTTCTTAGAAGGAGGAGAAGGTGTGCCTGATTGTCAGGCTTTGGGCAGGGGAGAGACCCTGAAGACATGAGCAACTTAATGAGTTGCAGTGTAGCTGTGTCAGTACGTATGCCAGGGGAGAAATTCTGTTTCACTCAAACGTTGTGGCCCAGAGGCATAGAGAAATATGAAACTAGGAGAGCCCGAACAAAGGCAGCTCCCTAAAAATACCCAGCAATTCATTTATCTCCTCATCTTCTGAGGCGTTTCCACCAGCAGCCTTCCTTAGTCCCTTCATCTATTTCCCTGAGGCACACCTGCCCTGTCCACTTTCAGGGCAGAATGCAGTCCCTGCCTCAAGGTGGTTGGATCTATTGAATTAGTAGGACTTCCTCCCAGCCCCTCTGTGCTGATCCCGAAGCATGCTTCTGTGTAATTTCATGCCTCCCTTTGTGTCAGGCAACTGAGTTGCTTTCTTTCTGCCTTGGCTGCAGACGACTTGCTCTGGAATCGTGCAGAACACAATCTTTCCAAACACAGTGCTGAAGCTCTGTGGGGCTGTTCAGGTGAGAGAAATTTGCTGAATGGCGTGGTGGTTGAGCCCCAGTGAGGAATGGAGAAGTAGTTGGGAGATAGCCTCTTGCTCACTTGTAACGCAACGTGGAGATTTAACATGAAATATGAAGGGAGCAAGAGTGTCCACCGGGGGCAAGTGATGTGACATGAATCATGATGCTGTTGCATAAATGATGCAAATTTCATAACGTGCAGTGCAATGTACGATCACACCAGACTGCCTGAAAACAGAATAAGGCACATTATCTCCTAGCATAATATATGAATATGGCCAGAAGAGCAGTGCACTGGAGCCAAGAAACCACTGTGGTTCGTACAGCATCTTCACACAGACAGGAAACTTTTTATACTTCCTGTCTAGGAATAGCTGAGAGCTGGACTGATGGATGGATCCAGGCCAGAATGTAAGAACATTCATACTCCAGATTAAAATTCTGAAGTTTATGGCCACTGTAGAAAGAGCCAAAGGCATCAGACTTGAATTCTGTCATTCCTGGCCATCATTCAGGGGTGGAATTGGGTACAATTTCTGATTGAAGTTATACTTAGCATCAAAGATTGACTGCCCTGAAGAGCGTGCCAAAAAAAATTGCACTTACCAAGATAAATGCCTTTCAAACTGTAGGTGTCAAGTTTTAATAAAATCTGGTCAAGAGAAACTCTAAATACAAGATCTGTGGTAGACCCAGTGATCAATGACTCAGTGACCCAGTTGACCTGTGACCAACTGGGTTGCCAACTTGCAGATCAGTCTGTGAGATGGCAATGGCCCTACCAGCACACCAGATCATTCTCCCCAAGATCAGCTGCAAAATCACTGAGTTTCAAAGTTACAATTTGGGGATTTTGGATGAGAGGAGGGCTGGATGATTCAGAGGAAGATCAATCCAGTTCTTTAGAGCCACAGTGTCACAGGACTTCTTCTGTGGCCTTCAAATGTTGCCCATCCCTTCTGCAAGAAAATTCAGCTAGTGATCCTTCTAGAATTGTGTCAGAATCATGGACTCAAAGCCATGCAGTGTTTTGTGTTTCTACTTCTGATCTAAAATAATCAAGCTCTAAATTTAAGAGAAAATGTGTCCTATGCAAGAAAGAGGGGGGGGGGAGGGGAGGAAAATAACTTCCAACTTCTGATACATACATTATCTGCATGAGCAAGATGTACAAGCCATTATGTAAAGGCTGCATAGGAAGGAACGATCCATCACCTCAGCAATAACCTGAAGACCAATAAACAGCCTCATTGATCATCAATTATTTACAACATAAAAGCATGATGTGCTACCAGACAAAGCTTGCTCATATTTCTCTAGGCAAAAATGCATCTTGGAGCCAACCAGTGTCATGTTTAGCCCAACAGGTCCCACCTTACCTTCACAAGGCCATCACATTCACCAAGATGGAGCCGTTGCCCAGGTTCCATGGTACCAGGTCTGTGTTTCCAGCAGATGCCCAGGCTGGTATCTCTGGGACATTCATAGAGAGGCTAGTGGGGCCATAGACATCTATTTTTGTGGGGGGCATGACTCAAGAAGCCCACTCAGCAAGAGAAGGAGAAGAGTTACCAAAGGCAGCATAGCGCTGCTTGCACTGCAACAAAACCAGGTTTTATTTGGAGAGCACTATCAGTAGCGTACACGTCCACCACACTGTTTCATTTCAGGGAAAGCAATGTTATGCAAAGTGTAGAAAAAGAGGGGAAAGGGGTAAGCAAAAGAGATTAAAAGCAGAACATAGAAAAGGAAAGAAACCCTAAATCTAATTTACAACATTTTTCATTTTACAGTATATCTCTAAACCTTCCCATTCTTGAAAACCATCCTTGCTTCAACCATGTCCATACATTATATCACACACTGCTACCTTTTTTCCTTCAAATTTCTCTCCTAAAATTTTTCAGGATCTCATCAACTTCATCCCACAACAATCCTTCATTCCTTCCTTTATTCAGTTCTATCTTCGTTCATTCTCTCTATATAATCAAACCTATATAATCAAACCACTTCAGTGTATTTCTTTCACACTTCTGCATTTAGTCCATGTTTATCATTCTTGACCCTATTCCTCCTGGTGTTACAACACACCCTTCTTAGGTATCCCATTCCTGTCACTTTCAACTTTTATGACATACCCAAGTCTCACTTCCACAGAACCACTTGGGGGGGAAGCATGTTCTACAGGCAGACATTTTCATTTCTTTTGAGAATCGTTCCTTGCAACAGGCCACATGCTACCACACCTCTTCACTAGGATTAGCACGTTTTGTAATTTTCCATCCATTTTCCCATTTTCAGTTCTACCAAATGAAGAGAATATATGTAGCTCAGGGCCGAACTGTAGAGTCCTTGGGGTTGTTTGGAAAACAACCAAGCTCAGAGAACCCCAAGGACTCCACAGTTCTACCCAAGTACACACATTGATTCTTGTGCTAGGGTTTTTTGTTTGTTTTGATTTGTTTTGCATTTATGTACTACCTGCACTTATTCATTTTTCCCTGTCAGACACCACCATCTTGGTCTTTGACAGCTTAATTTCCAGATGCATTCTCCAGCAGCCTGCCACCCACCAGTAGGCATTCTCCAACGTGCCAGCTCATCTGGTCTTTGTAGGAAGGGGAAACCCAAAGCCTGCGAGAATAGAAGGAACCTCCTGGAGAAGAGCAACGCTGAATGGCCGGAATCCCGGACAGCCATCTTCCGACTGGGTGACGTTTTCGTGGCAGGTCTCACATTGCCTAAATACACTCCATGTTTAAACAGGACAGGGGAGTTTCATCTGAAATGTCTGGAAGCGACTAAACATTTTAAAAGAGAAAATAATTATAGCATTTGGTTTTAAAAAAAAAAAACACTAGAGGGTTTTCATTGTGCTTTGGTAGAAAAGTATTTCATCTCATTGTTTGGGTTTATTAATAACATCTACCATTACAAATGTTCTCTGAATGGCTTTTATTTTGTTCCTCAGACTTTCACTTCTCGATATTTTAGTATGATTACAGAGAGAATTTGTTCCAAACAAAACGTGCAACTATGTCTGGCATCTTTAATTTCTTTTATTCCTTCTGAAATGTAATAGAATGCAGGAGAGATTGGTGCCCCTCTCCTGATCATCTGTCTTTCAAAGCTGATGACCTTTGCGGTGTTCCCGTGACGCATTTAGCCCAGTCTGAACCGACGCCAATTAAACCTCCTTCCGGTGGCATCACGCAGTCACGTTAACTGAGTCCAAATTCACCAGCTGGGCATATTAAGTCAGCCCCCACTTTCCCCAGGTAAGTACCTAGATTCTCATGCACCCTTGCTTTAACTTACAGTACATGATTGGATCTGTTTGGAGCTTAAGTTTAACCTAACACATGTACTCACAGATAAGCCCATTGGATAAGGCAACCCACCAAATTTTTGCATGTTTTAATTTTCACAATTAGGTTGTCCGTGGCTGGTGCATTTTTCATGGCATATTGCTGAAAAATTTGAGGGTCTGCTCATCTACGGATGGGCTTATTCACCAAGCTCCACATCACCTGGATTGCGATGACCCTTTTCGGCATGATTGCCCAGATGCTGCGGATTCAGCAACAGCAAACATCAGCACTGAGGAAAACCAGCGATGAACCATTGCCCTTTTCTTTATTTCTCCAAGCGTCCCATCTAGTGGCTGGTCATGGAGGTGTCTTGCAAAGCATCAGAAAGAGAGGTAAGAAATAAAATTGGAAAGCAGGGTCCAACTGGATTATCCACTGTCCAAAAGAGGCACAGTGCCTGAAGCCTACAAATTTTTCACTATCTCCAAATCTATATTAAAATATAGATAATTGGATTAGATGGTGTTATTATAGGAAACATATATTGCGTACAAGGCAACTATTCATGGACTTATCTTGAGGGCCTGCAGTTATGAGGCTGTCCGGGGCCTACCGGCTCTCTTAATCCATCTCTGAAGCAGGATATTACATTCCTTCAGGGCGACAACGTCTCATTTGCAAAATGCAAGACAAAGATTCCAGCCAATTCCTAACGCCGTTCCCCCCTGCCCCAAATTCTGCTGCTTCTTGTTTTGTTGTTTCCCCAATCGCTGTTATGTTGGGTCTTTGGGGAATCACCACTTTGCTGTGCTGCTAAGTATAAAATGGTTTCAAAATTGCATTACTTTGGGTTTCCTTGTGGGAGCAGTTTCAGAGTTTAGGGGAAAAGAGAGTAACAGATCCTGCCTATAACTGGATTGTACAAGTGAAATTATGAATCTGAGTAAATTAAATTAATGAAAATTAGGTTGTGCGATTGACTAAAGAACTGATACTTTGGGAATGAGCACACAGTTTCTAAGCATTGTTTTCATTAAGATCTGCATGCTCATAGACAATTAACACACTTAAAATAATGTGACCTTTGTAACCTCACCTGTACTCCCACCCTTAGAGCACCATGCGTTGATGAGTGCCTTCTGCCCGCGTTTTAAACGTAAGAGATATTGGTCTGTGCTACTCTAATGGGCCTCCAAACATCACCTGCACTTAGTAGAAATACATTCCACTGACTTGACCGCAAAAGGCTCCATGTAGATCTTACTCTGCTCTAGTGAGTAGGAGAAATAGATAAGGTTGCAGGTTTTTAATGGCAACGTTCGGCTGTTCTCAGATAATTGTAAGGCTATCATCTACCCACCAGGAACAGATGCTCTGATGTGGTTCCTTTTCCTAGTTAATCATTGCCCCTGCTTTGGAAAAGTGGCCTTGAGCTACACTGAGTGTGGAAATTGTAGAGCAAAACTATCTTTCCAGCTTCTCCAACCAGTCAGACGTGTTGGATTACAGCCACCTTCAGTTGCAGCCATGTAAAGATGGTCAGATTGGAGGCAGCTGTTCTAGAAGCGGAGGAGGCCAAATGGGCCACCAGTTCATGCATGAAAACAAAGGCTCCATGTAATTGGGGGCCTACATTTGTTTTATAATAAATGGGGAAAGGCATATTTCTATTTGCTTGCTGCTCCTTTGGGCATGTTCACTTTCCCTTAATACTCTGACTATGTCCTCTGAAAGAGTACAGTCAGCAGGAATGGAAAGAGGACAGGGGTACTATAAACTGCCCACATCAAGCGCTTCTAGTGGACTCCTCATGGAGCACTTGAAGCACAGTTTATGAGTGTGTAGGAAAGTCCAGGGAGGGTGACAGAAGATCATAGGCTCCATAGATATTAATCAATTTGTATGTGCATTAGTGACACTTGACGCCCCAGAAAAGGTGACCTCCTCTTGATTGACTGAAAATGTAGTTTATTTACACCAACAGGGTCAAAGGAGCTGAACTGAGTACAGGGCAACAGCAGCAGAGACAGTAGCAGAGAAAAGTATCTGGCAGGATATGACAAGATCTTGGATCTTGGGTCACCACCCAAGATGTTCAGCTGCCTGAATGTGATCAGCTTCCCCCACTTTCGAGGGCCAACGTCTTAAAAAGCTTCATCAGGGTTCCTCTCTTTTCTCATCAGTGCTTCCCTGTGCAAGGTGTTGGTTCAAGTGAAATAGTCCAGGGCTGCCCAATACATTGTGCTCCTTCTTCTCATTCAAGTTGTGCAATAGCTACTGAGGGTCATGCATTTTTGGCACAACAGATAGAAAATCCCACAAGCACTTATACACATCGCTGGCAGTTCAAAATACTAACAAATGGACCTGTTGCCCCATCAGGTCTTTTGAATGAATTCTGCCTTATGGGGCAGCTGATCCCAGGAAATGTTCCTTGAGAGTGATGGCTTCAGTGTCAGCATAAGACCTGCACTCTTCTGTCTCTGCAGCATTTTAGTCAAAGTAGCATAAGAAGCCCTGCTCAGTTCTAACGCTATGGAAAGCATGTTTTTGTTATGTTTAGGCTTTGTCTGTGATGCTCCAAACAGGGCAGACCACATTCCCCCATCACATCTCTCCATGGAACTGCTCTGCTTTTTTTTCCAATCAGCAACCAGTTGAAGAGCTGCAAAAATAAAAAAGTGCAAGGCTGTATTACATTAGGTTTTTGTTCCTCTTCCTTCAAGGTTCTGTCCTTGCAGTTATGAAAATGGATATTGGGGTTGGCATTGATTGCCATTGGAGAAAATTACTTCAGGGCCTGAAAGAATTTCACACCACAACAGAAAAGGCTTCATATTTTCTAGTGCTTCTATCTTGCATTATTGCCTAAGCCACTGCAGATAAATTTATGTGAACATGTCTGCTTATGTACTGTTGATAAGACTGGGTAAACTAACAGTGCCAGGTTACATCATGGTAAAATAAAGTTTATGACTAAACCAAGTCTGAAAGCTTAGCAAGTTAATTGGGGTACAGCAAATGAGGAAGATGCTAGGAGTCTCATTTGTTGGAGATTCTTCAAACATTTTTACCTTTTTTAAAAACCCTTAGGGATGAAGAGATGAACATTCAGCTATATTCCTGCAAAGGTTTAATTAGCATCCAGAACATTGTTGGAAATGAGTTCCTTTAAATCCTCTTTGCACCTGTATTGGTTTCTCAACAGAATGATGCTCCCAGATTTCAAGTCCAGGAGGCATGGTGGGGATGGCAGGTCAGGGGTTGCAGCACCATGGAGAGCTCCAGGGAAGACTGTGCTCCAAGGAAGCCTTCTGCAGCGTATTCCCCCCTGGGGTTATCCTGTTCCTGAACCTGACATCCTGCTTTGCTGTCCATCAGATGCCACTGACCATAGAGCCATCATAATATGTGATAGGTTCTTAAATGTGTTGCTGTGCCCTTTTTCCTTCTTGCAGCTCTGTTCAGAGAGGACTGTACAGCATGCAGTGTTCATGTTCTCGTCACTGGCCCTTGGTTTTCCAGCTGAGGAGGGTGACTCCTCACCATGGCCCCTGTCACCTGCTGTTCAAAGTTAATGCTAAGGGCGCCTCCACTGAACGCAACCTGTACATGTAGAACTTCTGTCTTGGTTCTACTTTCTCAGGAATGGATACATCTGCCTCATTATGAATCTGAAAAGTTTGGCAACAGCTTTTACGTCTTTTATTGTGATTGCTGATGTGTAATTTAATGAATGGAGTGCAAATGTGGCACTCAGGGAGAATATGTTTTGCTGTATTTAACAGGTTCCTGAACTCAAACTTTGAAGTATGTACCCATGTGAATCCTGTTCTTTGATGAAAATATGCAGCATATAAATATTAAATAACTGGAGGACTTATACTTTTGCTTTTCCTAAGTAGTGACTGACTGATCTCATTGGTAATTCTCTTTTGTAAGTCCCAGCAACAAGAGCTTAACATGTGCCAACAGCTGTGGTGCCTCCTTCCGGTGCTGGAACTCAACCCCAGAAGACATCCAGAGGAAATTACACCTTTCCAATGTAGATTCTGCTTGGCTTGAGCCAAGTTTCTTCTGAACCTGCAAGGCCATGTCTGCTCAGGTATCCACAGTCTCGCTTGAAGTTCGCTGGGTTGTGCACAAACCTCCGTCACATTCTCCCCTTGAAATAGCTTCCAGAAGTGGCTTGATCAGTTCTTTTGTGTGGAACCAAACATCACCATTATTATTTATGCCTTGGGTGAATTGGAGGTAGACGGACTTTGGGGATAATTTCATCTGTTTACTCTAATTACAAAATCCATCAATACCTGGTACCAAAAAAAAAAAAAAAATCAACTCAAAACTCTTGAGCTCAAGATTTTGCTTTGAGTACCAGAACTGAACTGATCTGACTTTTCCTTCACAAAAAAGCATTCCGTAGCTCACCAACTATCTTTGTTGAATGATAGCCTGTCCCCTGCAATAGAAAAAGTATTCTGCTTACCACAAAGCAGAACTAAATCAAAGAAAGCATACAAAAAGAGCTTGCACCTGAATGATCAATTGGCAGTTCTTGCTGGAAGTAAATTTGATTATTTATTCTGTCCTTAACACATAATTGTGTGTATAGACCCAAACAAGCTCCATTATGTGGAGCCATTTTTATCCCTCAGCTTCTCTGTTCAGTGCTATGTTGGCAAATTGCTAGCTTTTAAAATGGATTGCAGTGTGTAATTAGATTATGCATATTATGTGAAGGAGCAGATTTAGCTGTTTTCTGCTAAAGGACAAGCCCTACTTCCTACCATCTGTGCTACTGTGGCTAAACATCCTTACTATCATTGTCATTACCTGGCATGTACCTTACCTGAATAGAAATTCAGACGAACCTTAAGAAAAGGCCATCTGATTTGCTTTTTCCCCCTTAGAATATGATCTGAACAGAGAAGGTGGCTTTGCAATTGTCCCAAAAGACTGGCAATCACAAAAGTGAGCCAATAGTGTGTTCAACAGCTACCTGGAGAGAGAGTGGCCCTCAGAACGTCACAAGAGCCAACCAGTCCATACTTCTACACAGCTGGCATCTCTGGGAGCCAAAAGCAGTGGTCCTGAGCTGGGTTTCCTGGGTGAGCCTGTATTTGGACCCAGAAGAGATACGTGGCTGTCCACGCTTGTCCACTGTTGACAATTTACTCTTCTTTTGAAAGTGACAGAGGGCATCTCCATGTGGGGGTTCTGGGCCAGTTCAAAAGCAACTCCAGGTATCTGCGATCCTTCAGCTGTGTTCAGACACCAAACTGATTTATTTTCTGCTTAGCTGAGATGTACCTGAAACTGTAATAAAACTGCTTCTGGAGCATGTGGGTACTCCTTTCCCATGTTTTCAAAAACAAAAGCATGCCTCCCATTCAGGTCTTCCAGGAGGAAAGATGACCTATAAATTCTCCTAGGCATGGGAGCTCCTCAAGAGTATAGGAGTTCCTCTGCACACCTCCTAGTTAATCTCTTGCCCAGGGGAATCTCTTGTTAAAAATGCCGTTTATCTTCAGGCCCTCCAGATATGTTATATTTTCATTCTCACAAGAGTTTGCCAGAACTGCTAATGGCCATGTTAGCTACTGATTACAGGACCTGAGCCAGAGATGCTCAGGTTCATCCCACTCAACTACAGATATGACTGGAGACTTTCTCAGCTCAGCCTGAGCCCAGGGCTATTGCTGCAGAGATAAAATTAGGGAGACTCTTAATTCAATCTAAGGGTGTGCAAAATATACTATTCTAGGAATGGAGCATTCATTCGGGGATCTTCTGTTTCTTCTCTGCAGCATGCCAGTCCTGTTGTTTTGGGATGGTCCAGTGTTTTTTCAGAAATTAATCCTTTAAGGTAGCAATGTCCCTGATGTGGTAAAATTATGCTTCTTCATCTGGAACACTTTAAACCCTTTTTGGTTCAGAGGATTAAGTTCCAGAATAGATCTGCTAGAACAGAGGGATTGCCTCCGGAACAAGCAGACTGGCACGTCTGGAAGAGAAACAGAACGTCCTGAAGATCTCCAGAACATTCCATTCCTAAATGGTAGATATTGCACATATCTAGACACATCCACAGAGTTATCCTGGCAATAGTATGGAAGTGGTTTGCTATTGCCTTCTTCTGGAATGTGTTTTTACTTCTGAGTCTAGCACACAGCCCTGGAATTCCTTAGACATCTCCATCCAAGTATTAACTATGCCCAGTCCAGCTTAGCTTCTGAACCCAAGTAAGGTCAGCCAAGTACTACCAAGTAGAATATTAATATAGCATTTCATTTTTCTGCAACTCTATCTGCCTTATTTTCCCAAAGCAGTTGGCTAGTAGACTGTAAGTGGAAGAACTTTTTTCCTGAAACCTGAGAAACATAGAAGGGGAAAAGGTTGCAGAGGAAGCAGAATCTGCTACTTTTGGACTCAGACAAAAATTAAAGATACATATACAAATTCCCCATTCTCCTTACAGCAGGTTTTTCTCCAATTTTTTTTTTTTAAGAATTATTTGGGCCCTTGTGCCAGCAATAACTAACACACCTATGGCTCTTTGGGAGGTACCTCCACATGCTTCAAGATGAGATGCAAACATGCTATGGAAGAACCCATACATCTCTTGATAATATTTCTATATACTAGCGTTCCTTAACCTGGTGCTCCCAAATACGTTGGATACGACCTTGGGCCTTGCTAGCTCCCAACTTACAGAAGTTTCTGTAAGGGCACAAGTTGGGCAAAACTGCCATATACCTTCCCAAGATTTGGTGAGGATCCATCTTACTAGTATAATACAGGGCTTGATTCACCCCAAATTCCACGTCAACCTGGTTTGAAAAGGCTGTTGCTGCCGGTGCAAAAATTAATGAGCAAAGCAGAGGCATGTGAGCTTAGACTTGAAATAAAAACTGGTTACTGAGCTTGGAACATTTAGGGGACAGATCAATGCAAGCCAACAGATGGAGATGGGAGGAAGTATTCCTTTGATTTATGTACCAATCCGATTATTCTGACTAAGAAACCTCTTCCGTCATTACAAGAGAAAATTATAGATGATTGCTAGGCAGCTGCAGCAATTATTATTTCAAATACATCCCCTTTAAAATGTCTTAGACAAGTATTTCATTTTAAAAATAGGTCAAAATATCCACTTGTACAAAGCCACAGAACACAAGGAAATGCTCAGTTAGAAATTGTAAAGTGGTTCCTCAAATAGGGCAGAGTTATCAGTGGAAAGCCCAAATCCTGTGCATTGTCTGGCCATTTGAATCCATCTGAAGTCTTTACCTACTCAAAAACGTGCCCACTGCACTTCTAAATTGTATGATATAACTTGTAACAATCTTATTTTTAAGCAAGACATTTCATTATAAACATCTAAGACACATAAAAGCTTATATACATATAAGCACCATTTACTGTATATGTTTACTACTATAATTGTATACAGCTATATAATTGTTTTGTTTGTGTCTGAGAGCCAACATAGTGTAATGGACTGAGATAAGACTGTCAATGTTACAATTCAGACCACTGAAATGCATTAAAACTCAACTTCTTTGTTCAGAAACCTTCTTGAACTCATCGCAGACTATGCTCAGGCTGCTTCACACCCACCTTCTAGCTTCATCAAGCCAGGATGGAAGTGATATGAAGCCTGTTCTCACTACTGTTAACAGCAGTGGAACAACAATGGTTATAATGACCCTAGAAGATGCTACAAGTTGCTAATGAGAATCCTGCCTCAGTCACAACCAGTTCTGGAGTCTGATTTTTCCCCCCTTTTTCCCACATTGGCTATTTCTTTTAAAGCATCAGAAATATTAATAAGCTGTTGATCAATAACTAGGACTGAAGCAAGGTTGGTTTGCAAGGTTCTGAAGGGATGGAGAGAGAGTGCGAATGGTCATGGTATAAAGTAAATTTGATTAGATTTTCTTTTGTTGCCTCTTATCGCTTATCTTTAATTTCTTTTGCCAACTATTTTAACTCTTCTTTTGTGCTTTCCACAAAGTTGCGTACTCCAAAAGATGTGCATGTATGTATCTTGAAAGAGTCTTAGGTCCCCTCCCCATTTGTAACAAAAAGTAACCATAAGCATTTGTGAAGTGTAATGTTGCTGTTCAGTCAGTCACTTCCAACTCTTGGTGACCTAACAGACATTTGCCAGGATTATCTTTCATTAACTGCAGATGTGTGTGTGTGTGTGTGTGTGTGTGTGTGTACACACAGTATATTCTTGTTTTTTAATTGCCTTTGAATTTTCCAAATATCAGGGACTTCTTGAAGGACTCTTCCCTTCACATGATATGTCCAATAATAGTACAATAGTACAGTAGTGAGGCAAATACTGTCATATTATTATATATCATATAATGTACCTATCAAATTACAGATCGATTTACCAGAATAATCATTCTTGCTGGATACCTGTGACCCAGCTGAAAAACAACATTGACTTAAAATATGCTGGGCCCTGCTTACAAATTAAAACTTACTTCTTTGCACTTTTCTGCAGATCTGTCTTTCTTCTTAATTAACTTTTTCCCTGATGACTTTATGTTCATCTGATTAATTTCAATTAAACCTTTCTCCTGGCTGCTGTGCTTCTCGGTCTTCAGTAATTCATTTTTAATTGGGATGAGGGTGAATATTTACAGGTGAAAGGCCACCAAGATGGGCTGGAATATTTCACTCCAACAGGCCTGAAGTCCGAGGAAAAGAGCCTTAACTCCTTTTGTTCAGTGAGCTTCACCAAAACCCTTGGAAGACATCTCAGGAGCTTATGGGGCTCAGCTGGTGGGTAGCCTTGAGTGAGGTGCTGAAGTGCAGAATTTGGCTGGGGCTGTTATCACTCACAGTGCAGAGTTACAGCCCTTTGCTCATATCTGAAGACCAAAGCAGTTCATTGGAAGACCCATGA